CCCCGCTTATGCAAATGAAGCCCGGGAAATTCAAATCCCGGGCTTCATTTGCAAGTGCGGTATGCCTACATTACCCCGCTAATTCGAACTAGCGGGGTAGTGTAGACATACCCATGAGGGCCTAAAACATAAGCCCATATAGCACAGGCCTAGTTAACAATGGGCAAAACATGGCTAACATAAAGCAAAGCTAAGCTGTGAGCAAGAGGCAGGCCCCAGCTCACAGAACTTGGCATGAACAGGGCTGAGAGTGCAAAACACTAATTGGTGCTAGGTACTGACTGCAGAACAATCACTGGTACTGGTCATAAGTGGAAAGCACATGATATCACTAGCTCCTTAAAAAAGACCTTGGTACCCACTCCTCACAGATACAGACTCAGGTTCAAGAAAGGGTCTAAAATGACAGAATGATGGATAGATGATCTAATCAAACCACGAGGTACAGGGTGATGGGTAGTATCTAAGTAATGTCAGAGAGTGGTAACCTGACATCAGCAGTGAGGTATGACTTGTTGTACTTTGTAATGTGGCGGTGCTGTCCCACACTGACGCTCAAGGAGTTCCCCTGGCCCAGCTGGCCTAAGGGGCCCCACCCCCGCACCGTTCTGTGCATGCTCAAGAGTTAGGGTGGAGATAAAAGCCCAGGCAGGCAAGCAGTCGGGAGAGAGAGCCAGAGGAGCAATAGCTCAGAGAGGAGCTCCTGGGCTGCCCCAGCCACCCCACAAGCCATGCCTGCTGCTGCTGCTGCCCCAGGAACCGCGCCCGCTACCACTGCTGCCCCAAGAGCTGCGCCCACTGCCGCAGCCACCCAGGAGCCACGCCCATAGTCCCAGACATCTCAGGAATAGCCCCAGCCGCAGCCTCAGCAACAGGATCCTGCACAGCGGGGGAAGAGGTAGGAAGGAGCCCAGGGTGTAGGATTGGCCTCTGGGAAGTCGGCATGTTCTGGCAGCATCCCCGCCGACCAGGCAGTGAAAATGTTGACTGTCACCACGGTCCTGGGTTGGGACCTGGTGGAGTGGGAGGGCCCGTGTCCCCCTACCTCCCACCCCACCACAAATCAGCTTCCAGGACTTAGAGAGGGGCTTACCCCGGAAGTAGGCCAGAAGGCTGTCTCTGCCCTTGGAGAGGGCTGAGAGCTTTTGGGACTAGGCCAGAGAGCCGTATTTCCCCTGAGCAAGGGGCATTGAACGTTGGGACTAGGTCGGAGGGGCGTCTTTTCCCCCAACAGGGGCATGTCTGCTCTAGGACCAGGCTTCACACCCCCCCCCCCCAACATACCTGTATATAAGGTGGTGTCTTAGGGGGGACAACCTTTGAATGATCTAGGGGGCAGTGGGACCTACCACCGATTGAGTCATTCCATCGTGAAAAGTACATGTGTAATGGTTCAGTAGAGTCTACTGACAACTATTATTGTACTTCGCTCTACAATAAACCTGGCCTGGCACCTTCGATCTTTATCTGGTTTGTGGTTTTGGGGGGCTCTCTATCGGTCTGCTGTGGAGACTAAGTGCACAAGTCTACACGGCTCACATTGACGAGCACGCACACAAGCAGCCTTCTGTTTATTATCAACAAAGCCAGAGACCTGTGAGGACACCTCGGCAGTAAATCCTGACTGGCCGCTGCCCTGAAGAACTACACATGGCAGAAAACCCACAGCTTGTCCTAGAAGGATGGAAACGCCTTGTGGTTGGTGCATGGCTGTGCCATGGAGGAGACTGAGTGGATTCACTGCCCTCCACCAGGCAAGGAAGGGCTGAGAGCACTGTCAAGGTGAGGCATTCAGCCTCACAACTCATTCTTAACAGCAATTTGAAGAACAGGCTCCAAAGAGAAGCCCATCCAATTGTGTCTGGCTTAATGCACAGCAGCTGGGGCAAGGATCATGGCAGGGAAAGATTCATTATAGAAGACAGATGGGAATGACCTAATTCAGCCACATGAGCCATTTTCCAGGAGCTGATGCAGGAGTGCAGTCTGCAAGGCATTTTTCTGGAGCTCTGTCTAGTCTCATTTTGAGCTCTCTGAGCTACTGCTCCTCTGGCTCACAGTCACAACTCTTTTACCAGATATTAGGCCAATACTTTCTCACACATCTATTAATAACTAATCTGGAGGAAAGGGTGCACAGGGGGGAAATGTGGGAGAAATGGGATGAAAATACACTCTATTTAGCTCCTTTAAATCAGACACTAGGAGTCAGTCAATCTCAGCCAGCTAGCTGAACATTTTTGCTGCTCTTCTTTGACCCCCTCCAATTTGTCAACCTCTTTCAATTAGTGAGAGAGTATTCTGGGTACAGCTGAACTATGGCTTTATAAAGAGGGGACTATTTTCTTCTGGTTTGGTGGGCTGATGCCCTTCCATGTTTTCAGTCCAGGATTTCACTGGCCTTATTTGCAGCCAAGTAAAGAGGATTTGCAGACTCTCTCAGGGAAAGACACCTCCTCACTTCTCTCCCTGGAGAGAGAAAACAAAGGACAAGATTTTTTTCTAGGGGGGGGGAGAGAGAATCTAGTTACACTGTATTCCTGTAATGCTTAGTCCTTGCTAAACACCACCCTAACCACAGCAAACTCAGGGATTTTTTTTTGTGCTGAGTATGTGTTTTATACGCCCACTGTGATGGTGCGTGTGAAGTCAACCCAAAATAACAAAGGCCAGGGACAGTAGGGTCTGTGGCTGAGATGCAAAGCAACCTGTGCTCATGGTATTAGCATGTGCTGACTCTGCCATGCACATTTTTTTTGGGGGGGGGGGGGCTAGCCCCTCACCCCACTGGCAGCTTCACAGTTAAGTAGCAGGAGCTGAAAGGCCAGGCACAGTGTGCACACTTTATTACTTGGTAATGCATTAACTGGAATAGGAGAAAGCTGTTGTCTAAGTGGGTCATATAACATCAGCCATTATGTTCCAGTTATTAAGTCAAATGGATTCATTATATTTTATGCCATTAACAGCATCGTTCCAAACAGACAGCTGCAGCCTCTTATCACTTAGGGACTTTTTTCCTCCATAAGATTAAATTTATGTGCGTGCGTGTGTCTGCGTAGCTGGCACATTTTAGTGTCCCAGAAACAGGAGACTGATCACACTGGCAAGAGCCAGCTAGTTGTCGTATAAGCTTCCCTCTGACCTCCCCAGATTTGACAGTATGCCAAAAGCCTTCCTGCACTTCATCTCTGCTGTTCCAATCCTGCCTGTGCCTCTGAAGCAACCCAGCTAATGCACATCTGCAGGTTTGATCTGCAGCAGCATGTTAGTCCAGTGCTGGGCCTCCAGACGTGTTTGATGTGTCTTGGTCTTGACCTTCAGCACCGCTTGCAATTCCATTCACAGGGCGCCTCCTGCGGGGCTTTGGTCAATGCACCTGAGTCTTGACTTGCATGATCCCCTGCAATTCTCACCCAGTCAGGTTTCTATTCTATGCACAATCCCCTAGTACCTGAGCGCGGAGGAGGACGACATTAAGTAAAGCAATTAACACCCATCTTGTGTTTGGCCTATCTTTTCTCCAGGGGGGTACATCTCTAGTAACACAGGCTAGAAATCCTCAGTCTGAGCTTGAAAACTTCCTTTACCTTGCAGTATTCATCAATAGGGATCAGACGCTTGACAGCAACATCCCGGATGTGGCTTCTGCGGAAAAGGATCTTCCCTGCAGGGAAAAAGAGGAATAAGAGCAAGGCAAGTCATCCAGGCTGTTCCATCAGACATCATCACTTCCCTCAAATCAATTGAGCACGATCTATTCACAATGTAAGCAAAGACTGGTCTTGTCTACAAAGAAGAATCTACCTCCCCAACAACCAAGAACACTTTTGGAGAGATGCACATTTAAAATTATTGTGGGCATAGCTAGGACACCACAGTTATGCTGGCGTAACCCCAGAATGTATATGCAGCCTGCTCCACCTCCCTGAATGATGACAGAAGATGAAAGACCGAAGGCTCAATTTCCACACAATTCCTAAAATCACAGGGGCAAATCAGGTACGTGTTTAATCCGAGGCACCAGAATCAGCAATTTGCTATTATGCAATTGGCAAATGCATACTCAATATTTATAAACCACAGACACCCACAATGATCTCCTACTGCATGTTTGGGAACACAATGCCATGGCTGGAGGTCAAGCAGGAGTTTTTGCTGATCATGAGTCACTCTCACCAAACTCTCCAGCTGGAGAGGAGTAGTTTGCTTTGGATTTCTAGTTTGTTGCCTCCTCCAGCCGCAGATAACAGGACTTGTTGCTTGGATTTGCAAAGAAACTTAAGGGAATCAGGCACCCAATACTTCAGTGGGAGTTGGGCTCCTTTGAAAATCCCAACCCAAGTGTAAAATATCAGAAAGTGTTAACATTAGAAGAGTGAAAAGTAGGGATATTAAGAAGTGGGTATTTAACTAATCAAGTAGTTCATAGAATTATTGACTGCTCAGTCGATAGGTAGCTGGCTCGTGCCATGTCCAGGACCAAACCCCGCTACAGCGCTTGAATTTAAGACACAGTAGGAGCTGGAGGAGGGGAGAGATAACTGCCCGGCTCCTACTGCATTTTAAATTGCAGAGCTGCAGCAGGGTTGGGTCCTGGACCCAGCCAACAGCACCCCTGACCACAAGGGGTCCCAGCATAGAGTTGGGATCTCCCACAGACAGGGGATACTTTGCAGCAGCAACCCCCCTCCAAAAGAGGCAGCAGCAAGGGGGGGAGGGGGAAGGCGGCACTGCGGACACGGCACCGGCTCCTGCTTTTCCCATCCCTCTTGCTGCCTCTGATACAGAGGCAGCAAGGGGCAGGGGTGGGGGAATGCAAGTAGTCAGCTTGACTACTCGATAAGCCTAGGCTCATAGCCGACTACTCCCTCAAATCCCTAGTGAAAAACTAGAAAGGATGCATATGACCTGGGGTCTCCTGTGAACTTAAGGGGCACATGGAGCCTTGCAAGCACACAAGAGCCCAGGAACTGCATGGTGAGAAGGAGGTGACAGGGGAGAGCAGGAAGGAGCAAGGACAGACAGCTATTAGTTTGCTTGAGCTGTCAGTAACCAATTCCTGCCACTATGGCTATGTCTACACTGCCCCACTCTTGCGGAAAAACATATGGAATTGAGGCTAAGCATGGAATATTGCTGTGCCTCATTTGCATAATTAATGAGGCTCCATTTTTGCACAAGAGTCCACACAACTCCTTTTTGCGCAAACCCCCCCCTCTTGCGCAAGAGCCATTCTTCCAGAAAATAATGCGGAAGAACAGCTCTTGTGCAAAAGCCTCTTGCACAAAAACGGAGCCTCATTAATTATGCAAATGAGGCGTGGCAATATTCCATGCTTAGCCTCATTTGCATATGTTTTTCCGCAAGAGAGGGGCAGTGTAGACATAGCCTAACTGGCTTCGGACCCCAGAAGAGGGTGTGTGATAGCAAAGAGAAGGGGAGAGGAGTGGAGGGAGTAGGGGTGGATTTTATTTTGTGGGAAGTGGGAAAAACAATTTTTTACTTGGCCTACAATAAAGTTATATTGGCATCACTAGATCAGGCAGAGGTGTGGGAAGAAAAACCTCCTGACTACCACAGTTATGTCAACAAAAACCCCTGTGTAGCTGCAGCTAGGCAGACGTATGAGCGCTTATGCTGAAGTAGCTAACATTGTTCAGGGAAGTGGTGTCCCTACAATGACAAAAATCCCGTCAAGGTCTGCTGCTTGTGCGGTAAGGAGCTATGATGGAATCAGCACAGTAGTGGAAATAAACCCTCCGTTCAACAGTCAGGCTGTGTCTACAGTATGGAGACGATATCGGTGTAGCTAGGCTTTCACAACTGTGCCAACATAACCCCATAATGTAGATACAGTCTCCACTGACAGAAGGGGGCTGCCCCATCGGTGTATGGACACCACTTCCTGAGCAACACTAGCTAGACTGACAGAAGTATTCTTCCATTGACCTAGCTGCGACGACACTTGGTGATAAGTCAGCCAACCTATGTGGACTTTTCACACCTCTGAGAACTGTAACAGTGTCGGTCTTCATTAGAGCACACTGCAGTTAATCCCTTTGTAAAGGCAGGCATAGATGAAATGTTTGTCCCAGGTTTCTAACGCTTGCATTTACCCTAGCTCACAACTGAAGGTCAGAATGTGTAGTGCAGACAAAGCCTTGGGCTGAGGAGCTGTGTCTCGACTACACCTCTCTGTCGACAGAGAGATGTAGATTAGGCAAGTCGAAATTGCTAATGAAGCAGGGATTTAAATATCCTGTGCTTCATTAGCATAAACATGGTTGCCATTTTTTTTTCCAAAACAGAACTTTTTTGAAAAAAAAAATGGCAGTCTAGACGCGGATTGTCGAAAGATCCTGTAAACCTTTTTCGAAAGATCCTGTAAACCTAATTTTGTGATAGCAGATCACACTCAGATCCTATTGGGCTTTCTTTCCTGTCTGAGGTTTATTTTATTCTCCTTCAAAGGAATCCCTCAGCTACTCCATTTCCTCCCCTCTCACTTGTGGCTCAAGCCATTTTTCTTTGAAGCCTAATGAGTCCTAAAAGCTTCAAGCTGCTGCTGCTGAGCACAACTTTTCCAGTGTTTAAGGAGACAGAGGCCAATAGCAGACAGCAAAATGCAGGACAATGTAGCACTTTAAAGACTAACAAGATGGTTTATTAGATGATGAGCTTTCGTGGGCCAGACCCACTTCCTCAGATCAAATAGTGGAAGAAAGTAGTCACAACCATATATACCAAAGGATACAATTTAAAAAAATGAACAAATATGAAAAGGACAAATCACATTGCAGAACAGAAGGGGGATGCGGGGGGGTGGGAAGGGGGAGGAAGGAAGGTAAGTGTCTGTGAATTGCTGATATTAAAGGTAGGGAGAGTGGGATGTTTGTGAGTTAATGGTATTACAGGTGATAATTGGGGAAACTGTCTTGGTAATGGGTGAGAAAGTTCAAAGACTTGTTAAGTCCTTGTTGGTAAGTGTCGAATTTTAACATGAATGACAGTTCAGAGGATTCCCTTTCAAGTGCAGATGTAAAAGGTCTTTGTAGCAGAATGCAGGTGGCTAAGTCATTTAGAGAGTGTCCTTTCTGGTTAAAGTGGCAAGAAACTGTTTTCTCTTTGTGATCTTGTCTGATATCTGTTTTGTGGGCATTAATCCTTTGGCGAAGTGTCTGAGATGTTTGTCCAATGTACATAGCAGACGGACACTTTCGGCACATGATAGCGTAGATTATATTTCTGGATGCGCAGGAATATGTGTTCTTGATCTTATAACTCACTTGGTTAGGTCCAATAATGGTATCAGCAGAATGAATATGTGGACAAAGCTGGCAACGGGGTTTGTTGCAAGGGAAGGTACCAGGGTTGGTATTAGTGTGGTATGTCCTGTGGTGGTTGGTAAGAATCATCTTGAGGTTAGGTGGTTGTCTATAGGAGACTATGGGTCTGTCTCCCAGAGCCTCTTTGAGTATGGTATCCTGTTCCAATATAGGCTGTAGTTTATTGATAATGTGTTGGACAGGTTTAAGTTGGGGGTTGTAGGTGATGACAAGTGGTGTTCTATTGTTGGTTTTCTTGGGTCTGTCTTGAAGTAGATGGTTTCTAGGTATTCGTCTGGCTCTTTCAATTTGCTTTTTTGTTTCTCTGGGTGGGTAGTTGAGATTTATAAATGCTTGGTAGAGATCCTGAAGCTTCTGGTCTCTGTCAGTGGGGTTAGAGCAGATGCGGTTGTATCGAAGGGCTTGGCTATAGACGATGGATCGTGTGGTGTGTTCTGGATGGGAGCTGGATGCATGTAGGTAACTGTATGAGTCAGTGGGTTTTCTGTAGAGAGTGGTGTCTAATTTTCCATTGTTGATTTGTACGGTGGTGTCCAGGAAGTGGATCTCTCGTGTAGAATGGTCCAGGCTGAGGTTGATGGTGGGGTGTAGGTTGTTGAAATCTCTGTGGAATATCTCCAGTGTTTCTTGGCCATGTGTCCAGATCATAAAGATGTCATCGATGTACCGTAGGTAGAGGAGGGGTGAAAGGGGACGGGAGTTGAGGAAACGTTGTTCTAGGTCAGCCATAAAGATGTTAGCATACTGTGGGGCCATGCGTGTACCCATGGCTGTGCCGCTGATCTGGAGGTATAAGTTGTTCTCAAACCGGAAATAATTGTGGGTGAGAACAAAGTTACATAGGTCTGCTATCAGGTTGGCAGTAGTGTCCTCTGGGATAGTGTTTCTAATTGCTTGTAATCCGTCTTCATGTGGGATGTTGGTATATAGAGCTTCTACATCCATGGTGGCAAGGATGGTATTATTGGGGAGGTTATCGATGTTTTGTAGTTTCCTTAGGAAGTCAGTAGTGTCTCGGAGATAGCTGGGGGTATTGGTTACGAAGGGTTTGAGAAGAGTGTCTACATAGCTGGATAGACCAGTAGTGAGCGTGCCAATACCAGAGATGATGGGACGTCCGGGGTGCCCAGGTTTATGGATCTTGGGAAGTAGATAGAACAATCCTGGTCGGGGGTCAGAAGGTGATTCTGTGAGGATTTGTTCCCGAGTAGCTGTGGGGAGGCTTTTAAGGAGACAGTGTAGTTTCTTTTGGTAGTCCAAGGTGGGATCAGAGGGGAGAGGTTTGTAAAATGTGGTGTTCGAGAGTTGTCTGGTTGCC